TTGTTTGATCAGTTTCTAGAGAAAACAAAAGAAATCCGCCATTTTTTGTCCCAAACATATCCTATAATGCATTGCGTATACGGTACATAGCGTAAAAGCTTCAGAGGTCTATTTGTATAATATAATAGTAATTGCTTTAACTGTTTGATATTTCTCATAGGAAGTCACATTCAAACGGACGACGAGGTCGACGAATTCATYCGGGACAAACTGAATACRAACTACCATCCGTCATGCACGTGTTCGATGGGTGATAGCTCTGACGTCATGGCYGTAGTTGACAACGAAACAAGAGTACATGGYGTCGAGGCACTTCGAGTTGTGGACGCGTCGGTCATGCCAAGYATTGTCAGCGGTAATCTTAATGCGCCCACGATCATGATTGCTGAAAAGGCAGCGGACCATATCCTAGACAACGAAATACTACCCAAGGAATATGTTCCTGTTTATGAGGCTGACTGTATTCAATCTGATATCCGTAGTGAGAGACAAGCCTCGGCATAGAAATGAGGCTAAACGCTTCTATATCTATTTCACTGGAAAAAMTCGCGCGMYWTAAAGGTTGTAAATTTGATGKAAATATGWTGTAAGTGTCCAAAATGATGGAAATTTGATGGAAATGATTTACATCAAATTTMCATCATTTTGGACACTTACATCATATATACATCAAATTTACAACCTTTAAAGCGCGCGATTTTTTCCAGTGTTTGCCGGAAATATCAAGATMAAAAGGAAACAGCCAGAAAAATCAGTGTAATATAAACATCAAAAATCATAATTTATTCCTATCAAACTTGTACGCAACATTTTTTTTCTTGAATTTCATTATTAAATATACTATATAACAGTCGAAAAGTACTGCTTCTTCTTGCACTAACCGGTCGAAAGTGGGGGTTTCAACATTTAAAATCRTGCGAAAACGCTTGCTACACATTCTTTTCTAAGCAGAATCAATCTCGTTTCCAGGGCCTCTCTTCATGGCGTTTCTCAAAATGGCGTCGCACGAAAGTCGCCATTTTAAAAATGGCAAGCTATGTTGCTTTTTAACAGCTTAGAAGTATATTAGCGTTGAATCGTTGTTCTCTTCCAACCTCAATTCCAATATTCTATTTCTCATCCATTCATCTCAAGCGTCGAAATCGGAGTTACAAGCATAAAAGAGAAAGAGAGAGAAAAAAAACCTCCGATTCTTGCGCTTACGATTTCTTTGAATTTCTGTTCCACTTACGACTCCGGCTTTTCTGTACAATCGCAAGCATCAGTGATAACATTTGTAGAATATTTACAAAGGTGATGTCAGCTAGTTTTCTTTGAAGTAGTTCTCTTCTCTTCCCAAGCTTGGAACTTCGTAAGAGCAGTGTTCAACATTTGAGTCAGATGATCTGTTAACTGAAATATTATAAAAAATAGCATTAAAGAGACATGGTCCACTAGCATGCAATGCGATCGTGTTTTAGATTTTTCATATATGGAAAATGAGGTGACTTCGAATATCCATTTGCAATCCGTTTCCATCCATCGGTTTAACGGTCGAATCTTAAAGCATCTTCATTCATATAGTATAAAGGAATAATAAAGAGTAAGTTTTTGCTTATATTACGATGTATTTCTATTTTCAAACATAAACAAAAGCTCAAAAGGGATGCTGGTGGACCATGTCCCTTTAAAACTGAAGTAGAATACATCTAACTTCTCATAAAGTAGCTAATGTGCAAAAAAAAATTACGAATAACTGCTTAAAACGTACAGGTAAAACAGAAGAATTGCAGGATGGGGGAAAGCGCAAACCCAACGGATAATATTCGGAGTTCGTGCTACATTTTCACTACAAAATCCAAGGACTTTTCAAGTATATTTTCAAGGACTATTTTAAAGAAATTTTTGTGATGTTTGCGGACTTTTCCAGAGGCGATTTTCAAAAATATGTCAATTTTATCAGATTCAACAGACACTTTTTCAGTTTCCCAAGGATGTCCGCTTACGGGAGACTCAACCGTATTTATGTTCAACTTACGTATAATTCTTCTTGTGGTAGTTTTTGCCGTAGCTGTACAAGTTTATTATCGCGATATTTTTCCAGGCTGTGTCCCATTCGAACAAGCTAAAATCAAAACAAATCAACAAGCATCAGTCAACTAAGGTACGATCTTTTATCCTTGTGGCGTCACGTTTGTTTTGGTGTAGTGTATTATGGTATTGTTATAGGGGTCGACCCTTTTCCCCTAATGGCGTCGGCGAGATGCATCATGGGAATGCACTTCGCCGAACAACGTATGACGTTATAAGGAAGGAAAAGACCGGATTATGTCTTTAAATGATAAACAAAATGAAACTATAATTATTCCGTACGAACCTTTTCTTCTAGAAATGGCGATGTGGTGGGAAAACACAGCCAGAAATGTCTCAATAGTTCTGCCAGCGCGCTGTATTGTTGTCTGAGTTCTGCAAACAGTGATTCGGACAAAGAGTCTGGAACAGAACAAAACAGTGTGTCAATAAGAGGGCATACAACAAAAAACCGTGTACAATTTATTTTTTACCACATTTAACTCTAATGTTAGAGAAATCATTTTTTTCTTTTCATTCATTGCGGACGCATTGTCCTCCGAAACTCTCCTGATGCATGTATGGACGGAACATGGCAAAACCTATTGTACATACGGCATAGAGATACATACGTTGTATATTTGTATGTGACGTGGAGTCCATCATAGAGCCACCAGGCGACATTTCTGTTAACACGTGACATGCCTGTTCACTCGTCAGCACCTACGTCATCAACCATATATGGTAGGTCAATAATGATAGCCGTCACAAAACACATGTCGTTACATGGTCATAAGGACCGGTTCATACTAGCCTAAGCAGTAGCATAGACAGAAGCTGGTACTTACATCTGTAAGCTGTGGTGTCCAGGTTTTAATTTCATATTTACAGTGCTCCATGGCTGTGTGACTGTCGATTGCACTCTTGATAGAATGACTGGAATAACCATTCTAAACACAAATAAAATGCTTTGCATTGGCTTTTGTAAACTTTACAACATGGACGCGAATTTTGTAAACGACTTATTAAACGCCAAAAACAATTAACATGCATTACAGTGAGATGAAGGACGAAAAATGACAAATAAGTTAACTGCTGAGTTTAGTCGCTATTAGACATGCGCAATTTAATGAAACAGAGAACATTTTGATTAATTATTTATCCCACATGGAAAAGCAAGCCATTTGTTGCATAACAGAGTTCTGTTATCTGTATTTGCTTGCTTCAAAACCTAGTAAATGTCTGTCATGCGACATTAAAATTGAGACCTTTGCTAGTGTTGGGTTGTCTAAATGGTKACGACCGTGTTGTAAATCTAATACAACACTAGTGTGATTGCTTTAAAATTCATGGAGATTTCTTTGAATTCCTGAAAGGAAAATTAACAAGAAAACAGAAAGAAAGAAATAAGAAGCACTTCTTACTTCGTGTTCATTATTCTGTGAATATTTATTTGTGGTAACAATCTTTAAGCTTTGTGGCTGTGTTGTTTCCTCCTCTTGAAGGTCTTCGTAGCCAATGTCATCACGTATGCGACTCTACAATGAAAACAAGGGTTATCAATAGTCATCTCGTTGGCAACACTTCATGTTACCCTTTTGGGATCCCTTTGGTATCCTCACGGCCGCGACAGGGCCTTGGGCCTGGCCATGAGTCAGAGTCCCTCTCGGTTATATTGAGGAAGATTGACAGAGAGTCCAGTAGGCTACTGTCGTTGCCAAAAAAACCTTGGACCATTGAATTATTTGCCTCCAGCCTAACATTTTTCTTTATTTTATTTTCACAGTTTTCCCCCTTTATCCCCCTTTCATCAATGTTGGGTCTTGTTTTGGATGCTTGTGTACTATGGTAACATGATCAATGACAACATTGCAATTAGGGGGTCAGGGGGATGAAATTGTCTGCGCGTGTTGCTTAAAATGAGGAAATTCTCTGGAATGGACCAAGGATTTTGTCAACAATTGTAGGTTATCGCCATTCATGGATGGAAAGATGGATAAAAAGGCGGAAGAATGTATAAACAAATGAATGAGAGAACGGATGGGAAGACGGACGAACGAGCGGATGAAAAAATGAAAGAGTGGACAAATTAAAAAGGGAAGAATAATCAAAGAAACCTTTTTTGAAGGTGGTTCTGCTTGAATACCACCATTTTGTTGTGGTTCAGGTGCTGTTGACAGCGTTGATGTTCTGTAAATAAAGACAAGTTATAAGTAATTACAAAGTCTTAACATCGTTTCTTTTCTAGCCTCCTTCGCAGTCTACTCCAAATCAAACGGACTCTATCGTCTTTTTGATCTTTCTGTGTTGCTAATCTCGACCGAGAGTAGCTGGTATTGAGAGTTTAGGCTCTTTCCAGAGCTTGTTTGACATAGCAAAGGAATGCCGTGGAGTACAGTTCTCTGCGAAGGAGGCTACAATCTTGGACATAAATGTTGACAATTTTTACGCACACGCGACATTTCTCACACTATTCGTCGATAAAACCTTCCTCATGACCCCCTTCCCACTAATACAATGTTGTGTGGCTTTCGTTTCATTGGTTGCCCATTCATTAACCCCTGCATGCAACATTGACGTGGGAGGGAGGGAGGGAAGGGGAATATTTTCAGTTGATGCACATGATACAGTATTTGTAATGCCCAAGCGAAAAATTGTCAAGTATTTATGTCCAAGATTGTAGCCTCTTCCAACTAATTTTTAAGTTAGGCTCCCTCAAAACCAAATGTAAAGAGCCATTAACACTACTATAAACAGCTTGGAAATCATCAAGTTTATATTTTGACTTACTGGTTTGTTAGTAGAACCATTAGACTATGGTGGTTAAGACGACGAAATAACGATTGTCCTGACGTACTTTTAGCTGATTGGTCAGACTGGCTGTCAGCTGGGACGGAACCATATCCCTAAAGATACAATAAAGTCAGTCATACAATCACTGTACAYTCGAACCTCTATTAAGCGGTCACCTTCGGTAAAGAACAAGTGACTACTTAATAGAGGTTGGCCGTTTAATAGAGGTCATGTTTTACAGTAAATGTACGTAAGAATTTACTTGTGGAGAATAGTCCCCTTAACGGTTGCGTGCGCCATCTTGAAAGATAGCCGTGCCTTTACATCGAAGCGAGACAACCGTTAAGTTTTATCGTAGATTTTGCACACTAGCGCAGAATGTGAGGACTTACTTCATCAGGTAGAGGCGAAACTCCTGTCAAATCCAAAATATGATCCTTCAGATGTGACAGTCGACTTGTAAGTTGCTCTGAAAAATCACAATGATGCATAGAGTATAACAAGTGAATGGATGTAATGTTTCGGTTGTTTCTGTCTTAGTGATTCTTGCCCTGTCGTGGGAGACCGCTATGAGAACGGACACGATATTATTCTTGCGTTAATTGTGACAAAATATTCACTTTTTTATAAAATCAAATAATTATAATTATAATCATAGTAGCTCTCGCAACGGACACCCTTGGGCCCTTGTGACCGTAATTTAGTGTCCGCAGTAGCTAGAGTCCGTAATAACGGGAGTTACTTTCAGTCATTTCTTTGTATTTTTCGCATAATATTGAGGTGTCCGTTATAGCGCGGTGTCCGTAAGGCGAGAGTTGACTGTACTTTTTAGGTTTTCTTTCACTAAAGGATTGCTTCCCTATCTATCATATCTTGTGGAAGATTGGGGAATGTTTACTTAGGCATAGCTGAGCATTAGCAAGGGAATTAAAAGAAGCTATGGGTAAAGAGAAATGGAATCGTTGTGCTGAAGTCTTACGCTCCTCATTGCGAGAAGAGAAAAGATGATAATGGTGATAAATTAAAAGGAAGTGTGATTTTTGTGTGTGTGGAAAGTTACTGTTAAGTTGAAGTCCCGACGGCCACAGACCTCTGGGACTTTAATTTAACTTTCTGAGGTTATGTACCCTGTTCATCTTGCTTGGCGCATTCAGTGAACATGTCTGAAGCAGCGATCTTTGTTGTCCTGTCGCGATGAAAGTAATGAGACTGGAAAAACTTGGTCCAGAACTCTTTCTCTGTCATCTTGAATGGAAAATGTAATGAATTAGTGAATTGAATAAAAAACAAATTGCAATATGCACCTCATTGATAATGGTGTTTTAAGACAACAAATCGCATTAGTACTTTCGGAGAAAAATGCGTCCGTCATCTTGAAAAGTGGGATTGAATCACAAAATCATAACTCCTGAAGAAATTAAAAGGTTCTAAGCTAATGTCAAATTAATATAATACGATATAATGATAGATTAGTTGACTTAGCAACTACGAAATGTGTTCTAAGGCACAACATAGTGATTCAGGTCTCACTAGTCAAGATGACTGATGCATTATTCTCCGAAAGTACCGATGCAAACTCCTCCTCTTCTTCTTTTTCCTTTCTAGTCACTAGTCCCTAGCGGTCAAGATGACAAAGGAAGCCCAAAGGATGAAAAAAATAATTGCCTGGTGAGGAGTCTACATAAAAAAGAATTAATATAAAATCCTACTTTTACTTTGATACTCAGGTTCTTGTGCAGATTAGTCATTAGTAAATACATACACCTATTCTTTACCTTATCTGGCACAACTTCTGCATGCTTCTTTTTCACTGCAATTGAAGAAGAAAGATTCATGACCAAATATAGAACAGAGTACATCTCACATAACAAGATACTAAGTGTCCAACCATGACACAGACAGAAAGACAAAAGCAAAGGGAAAAATAAAACAATTGTTGGTGATATTTGGACTAACCTGCTGGATAAGTCCTGAATATTGCTTCAATTGTATCAGTATTTAAATTATATTTAACCTCGTTACAGCCAGAACTCATGGGCTGGGCATCACCCTACAAACAAAAAAATTAATTGATAAATAGAGTGATAAATAAATTTTAATGGATGAATGAATAATGAAACATTAATAGCAAACAAATAGGTGCAGAAATTGGCTAAAAATCACCATAGTGAACATGCCTTTAGATTGTGTTTGACACAAGGCCAGTCAAGTTTAGGGCTCTACAAGTTTAGAGAAGTTCTACCTGCTCACACAGTTTGATCTGTTCAGCAAGGGGAACTGTTCTGTATTAAGTTTTGTGTGAGCCCAAACCCGAACTGACATTACGAGAATGGTCTCATGTAAACTGGGAATTCACGTTATTCAAAATGACAAAATGAAACTTACCAAAAGAACAGATGAAATCCCAACTGACTGAGTACTGGAATCTGTATTCAGCGATTCAGAAACCTGAGGAGTGAAGGAAGAAATGTCAAGCTTTGGAACTTTATGTTGAATTTTCTTGCAAAGATGAAAACATATATAATGATATATGCAAATGACATTGTTGTTTTCATTACGTCTTTACAAGTGAACAATATTTTAATGTAATAAAATGGGATTAAAATGGGATTAAAAGGGGATTGATGTCTCTATGGCATGCAAACTATTATTGATAATTATTAATTACATATTGTTAATCATTATCAATTATTGTTAATCATTATAATATACTTTGGAAATGAATGGAAAGGAATGATTTTCTTAGTTACAGCTTGTGTCTATAGTACATAGAGCTGTGAAAGAAACAAACCTTTCCTCTGTTTGCCCAGAATTCTTCAGATGTAATAATTCCACTGACCACCAGGTCCTTGTACAATTGATAGACATCTGGATTTTCCTTTAAAATTCTATAACAAAAGACATAAGTGTGCTTTTATCTACAAGAACTTTGGAGGGGGTGCCAGCTGGCAAAATTGTTGGAGTTAAGGGGAGGGAGTGTGGGGAGTGACATTACGTTATTTCTGAGCCCCAGTATGGGATTCCGTAAAAGTTTATAGACTGTATTGGCATCAAATGTTACCACTGCCAACCCCCACCCCCTCATGATCTAATAAATGAAAGCTCCCCTATTACATAAATGCATTGCGTCCCAAGCTCAGAATGTATTTCTCTCTTCAATACACTTTCTTACCTGTTTTTCTCTTCTAATTCTTTAGTAGCTTTCAGTCTATGTGCTGGTATTAGCTGCGCTAGTAAATCTTTCACTTCATTACGTTTACTCTTTGCTGTCTCTGGTGATGGATTGGTGAACTGAAAGCTGTGTGAATTTCCATCATGGAGGACGATCTGGAGCTGAATTTTTGAACTTCCTTCTGGACTAATCCTTTGCACTGCATAATAATTGGAATTATTATAAAACATACAGTCAACTCTCGCTATTGCAGACAACCTCGGGACCGTAATTTAGTGTCCGAAGTAGCGAGAGTCCGTAATAACGGGAGTTACTTCCAGCTATTTCTTTAGTATTTTTCGCCGGGGATTCAGTATTTGGTGTCCGTAATACCGAGGTGTCCGTAATAGCGGGGTGTCCGTAAGGCAAGAGTTGATTGTACAGTAATTTCAGGAAATGTTGAGTTCTGAAGTTGGTGCATTTCCATGGCCACTGCAATTATAATTTAACACCTTTTACCTTTGATTTCGGAATATTTGCAGTCAATCTTTGGTGCACTAGTCCCTTGAAGCGTCCACGTTATTCTGTTTGTGAGCAGACGAAGCATTCCCGTGTTTTTCTTGTATTTTGTGTTAATGATTTCCAACATCACACTTTCGTCTATGTTCGCCGCCATCTTGGATGGCAGTGTGCATGAAACCGCTGGACATGTAACACGTGTTACCACAGGAAGCCCGCCATTACAAGCGCACAACGTGTCATGTTCGTTTTGTTTATTATTTTTCTTTCTTTTTGTTTTGCTATTTTTGTTTTTTTGTTTGATGACAAAGGGTTCGATTTCTGAACTAAGTCTTACAAATGTCTTGGTGCGCCGACCACAGGAAACGGGGCTCTGCTGTAGGGACACGCGCGCGCAAGCAGGTCAAGGAGCGCGCGCTAAATTAATGAAGTAATTGCATTCATTATGACGTGTCAAATTAGTATCGCATAATTTTTCGTTCATTCAAGAAGCAAATTATTTACTAAAAGAAAAATAATAATTCAAACACATGGGAAAGTGTCTGTCTTGCTTTCGAGCAAGTGCAAAGGATTCAGATTTCGATTTTCACATCAGCCCAGTAGTCGTTAAGGAGCCAAAACCAAAAACTTGGTCCCAACAGGTAGAAGCGGACTTGAGCAAACTTGCCACACCCGATGTGACGGAGAAAAGTCTTAAACAACTGTACTGTAATCAACCCAAAAAAGAGTCGACTACCAGCCTCCCACGTCCAGTGGTTAACGTGAACATTAGCGCTGGAGAATCACTATCTGACAGTAGATCTACACTGTCTTCATTCTTTGACCACACCTGCGATGATTGGAGTCCAAAAGTCACCGAAGTAATAAAGAATGCTACAACAGATCTACAAAACAAGTCGGACGAAGATGTAACTTCCTCTACGTCTGAAGTGAAACAGGAAATCCAAGAGCCCAAGTTGATTCCAGTTGACGAGCCAACGAAGCAGGTTGACAGCGCCATTTCCATTGATTCCTCAAACTGGGACGACTCCGTCACTAGTTCTAATGATCTTGGTGAAGCGAGCAAACTGTTGCAGGAGATTGATACCACGACTGATGATGAATCTTCTGCGCAGTCTGTCGACGAATCACTAAACACAAAGTCAAACAAAGTTGAAGGTAGACCGGCAACGATTAATTTTATTAGTAAATGTCATCATAACAGCTCATTAAAACTATGAAAAAATTCTCTTCAAATCGGCAGCAATCCTTGCATAGACAATTGTTTATATGTGAAGTGAAATGATTTTAAAAACTCAATATTATTTTTCTTTTTTCATTTTTTCATTTTGTAGATTTGGCTGCCACAGAGTCACAACCAAATGATTCGTTCTCCAGCCTTTTTGATGAGGAAGAATCAAAACTCCTACAGGACATTCTCAAGGAAGACCAGGAGCGTCAAGAGATGGATGCCACAGAGCCACAACCAAAGGATGATTCTTTCTCCAGCCTTTTTGATGAGGAAGAATCAAAACTCCTACAGGAAATTCTCAAGGAAGACCAGCAGCGTCAAGAGATGAATGCTGCAGCGGAAGATGAAATTGAACTCACCGCTGACCTCTGCTTGCTTGGGACTTCCATCAGAAAGGTTAGAAGTGAACAATCAATCGTCTCGGTTCATATTAGAGTGAACCTTGATTCTATAAAGTGCCGCATGTTTATATACACAAAGGGCAATGAAGTTGTTGCTGTTGTTGTTCAAGGATCCTAACTGGAGACCTAACGCTGATGTGCCAGATGACGCTGATGCTGATGGACTGGAGGAAGTCGATGATGATTCAGAAACAAGCGAAGATTCATCGTCTTCCGATATGGACAGTGTAGACACAAGACCTATTGATGGTAGAGGTAAACAGAAATCTAATAAAATGTCATAAATCAATGTGTCATTATAGTCTACATAGATGAGTTTGACATAAATCTGTAACTATGTAAACCAATTCTAAGTCTAGAGAGATGACCAAATTATATAAACCCCATAGTACATTAAGTGAGATCCATTTCAGTACAATAGCATTGTCTCATTTTTAGACGCCGCCACTTTATATTACCAAGAAAAATTTATAAAATTCGTCTTGGTCGTATGTAGTGTCGGAATCTAAAAAAATAATTAAATGTATGAGGTTTACAAATTTGATCATCCCTCTTAGACTTAGACTCTTAGAATTGATACACAGTTTTCATTGTACGACTATAGATATGATTCAAGATATTGTGATTGACGACCAGCAACGCGTAGGTCTGAGCGCAACACCCGATGACGACACAGATCTTCCCATAGCTAGACCTATGCCTGCTGGGGTCTTCCATGGGAGAGGTATGAATTGCAAACATTTAGACACGACTGAGAAGCAACTGAGTTTTTAATAATGTAAACTGAATATAAAGTTGTTTCGAGCCATATATAAGTCCAGTACTACCTCGGTCTTTTATATTCACGGCTAAAATGCCACGAATGAATAAATTTTTCTCATAAAATAGAAGAGTTTAATATACATTTAGCGTGATATATATAAAATGTGAACC